ATATCGAGGACCACGGGACACACGACTACAGGCTCTCTCCTCGTCACTCTTTTTCATACAAGCTCGTCCCCTGGCTGCAGCCTTTCGCATTGGGTACTATCAACGGTGGTCATTCTCGACTTGCTTGGATTACTTCTGGAGCTGCTGGTCGAGGCGAACCATTTGGGATCGCACTTGGTCGCCGTTGCATGGGCAATGGCGATCCCGAAGCGCTGTATCAGGCACCCCTGGATCGGGCGGCACTGGATTTAGGGGCGTATGGGAAAGTCCTTGGCAGAGAGTCACCTTCCGGTCCGCTGTTTGCGTTCCACGAAGGAGAAGCAAAGTTATTCGGTGGCGTAATGGGGTCGCCGGAGCTGTTTATTCTGGAGTATTGAATATTGGTATGGCTTGATTTGGACTCGCGATCTATGCATATACCCTGTGATCTGAGAAATCTTGTTATCGTGTTGTATAGGACCGCTGTATCATGGAAAGAAGGTTTTGTTGCTGATGAATCGACAGTATATTCTTGAGGTTTTCAAAGCTGCCGCTGCATGTTCGGTGCCACAACTCATTAGAGGCACTCTCTCTCCGGCGACTATGTTATGTGCGATCGGCTAGAAGCATTCCGATCGTAGTCCATTAGGTGTGATTTTGGTACGTTGCCAGCTCAACTTCTGCGCTTTTACTCCACAATAGGAGAGCGGGCGACAAACTCGGAGTTTGATTATTGGAGTAAAATCAAGACACGGTTCTCGGCTATGTCGGTATATGGTGGCAAAGCTTCGCCTTTGAGGTGTAAGCGTGCTCGTCCTACGATGGAGGCTTCTTGATGCGACTAGCGTGTTTCCATATATGGACCACATCGCAAGGTGTATGGTATAGGAATACCGTGAGTGAGTTAATTTGACACTTGCATCGTAATCATCGGGTGCGTCAGGTCCCCAAATGGTTCTCACCGAGTGGAGCAACGAACTTGCCGTGTAGAACTAGGTTTTACTCGCACAGGGCGGGTCTGTCAACATTGCCATCGCCGGGTGCTCGGGACTCGGTTGAGGGGTTCGAGCGAGAACAGGATCGAGAACTAGACCTAGGGTGCAATTCTTCAACTTGCCGATCATCTTTACGGTAGAGGCTCAGCTGTGGCCGTGCGCCAAAATCTGGCTAGGGCTATCCCGTTGAATAACCATTAGGAACTTCAACACGGGGCAACACGAATGAGATCGTGTCGCCAGGTAGCTTTGATCAACCTATTCCAATGGTGATCTCTCGGGGGACTCGCTCCGCATACACCCACCCACTCCCTTTCCCAACTTGAAATCAGATTTGTGTCAAATTTCATTCTAATTGCTCTTGCACCAGCTCACGGAATCGGCACTCAAAATCTATCTATCGCATCCGATTGAGTTTTGTAATCACCAACTTTGATATTTACATACTTACAATTATCTTCCCACAGTCTCTTGCCTTTGTGGCACGAGTCGAGATCAACCAAGACCTGATCGCAGATTATCCTCAAGTACGTCATCTTAGACCGGCTCTCGACCCGAATCTAGTCCCCAGCCGGAGCGGCTACCCAACAGTAAGTCTATTCTACACTATCGTCGAGTGTTCCGGCATTGAAAGCAATTATCGGGTAGTTATTCACCGCATTTCAATGCGCATCTTCGCGGTCATCAAGTTGGCAAACTTTGGAAAGTCGCCGCTGCACATATAACTTACCAACTTGTAATCCAAGAGTACCCCTTTGAGGTACTCTTAGTGTGTAGTCCGACCTTGCCCGAGCTTAAATCTCCGGCGTAAATGCTGCGCCTATTGATTGTGCGCATTTCGAGGTGGATTTGTATGGCAGGCTGGTGAAATCCCAATGCTAGAGTGTAGTAGCTAGCTACGAACGCTCGTTGGCGGCTTTTCATTTCTGTCTCTCCTTTTGCCTGCAGAAACACACGAACTCAGGTCTCTCACACATCAGAGTTCTTTTGCATTTATACCACCGCTCTTGATTTGCCTAGTGCTTTGATTGAATCTTTCTCGAGATGCAAGGTCAGCATGTTGTGTTGTTATCTAGCAAAAGGGATACCCGTGTATGCCACACTACACCTGATCTGCTATTTGGTGGTTTAACTCGGGTAGTCTTCTCGATCTCAAAGATGCTCGAAGACCAGCGTCGTGGCAACGATAGCACACACACACCGGCGAGAAGTTATACGTGTATGCGTCGTGGATAATGCTGGAATATTTGAGTACTCGATTCAGCATCCTTAAGAATACCGAAACTAAATTTTGGACACACCATACCCAACAGGGGAGCAGGGTTCTCTCTAGCAGTGGGACACCCCAATTTGGAGAGAAACTCATACGAGCGGTTAATAATCTAATTCTATGTTCTGGGGTTAATTGTAGGTACGGCAGTACGTAAAACCTGTACCACAGCAGCGACATGGCGGTCTCGAAATTCCGCAATGGAAGCTGTATAGCACTATTGCTTGCTGGTCACATGCCGGGCGCCTCCTCCCGTCCTGACTAGATATCCTTGCTTTGTGATTCCTTATTTCTTGTTTGCGCAACTCGATAATTTTAATAAATTGCTTTGGGCGCTGTCCCAACAGCTCTTCCCTGCTGCTGCCTCCATATTAGGGTGTATCGTGCTCAAACATTGGCACGTTTCAAGAACTTGAACTTCCACCACCCACACAGTCGAGCGAAGTACACAAAATGAAATATCAGCTTGGCTGATGATTTGCGATACGAGCAGCATGAACTTAGCCTAGCCTATAGTACCTTGGTTGCTACTATTCGTCTAAACATTAAATGGAGTGAATTTTATATATCGGCGCCTCCACCATACACAAACCCCACGAGCGATCTATCTCAGCAGAGCAAAATTCCCGCTAATCTGTTACGAAAATATGTGCCCTTCTCCGACGGAGCCCTTGCTTTGAACCATTGGGCGTGCCCACAACCCAAAACTTTCCTGTCATTCAAGGTACGTCCCATTGAAGCGGTTCTTGCGATATAATTATGAGTGCTCTCACAACTATAGAACCTTTCTCTCAACAACATAATATTGTGTACCGAATTACTCGCTTTATACTTCCTGCCTCTTATCTATAGTCCTATATCAAGCCTGGTGGCTCTCCGAACCGCCTGTGTGCAAATACTGATGCCACTGGTGCCGCGTGGCGCACTGTTCGGTTCAGCCAATCTTGGGTTCATTTTTTGTCGTATCTCGGTTGCTTCAATATAGGCGCGGAGGAAGTTCTCAAACCAGTTGACGCAAAGCAGCCCTCTGATCTCTACCTCTATGGATCTGACAACGCCTGTTGGCCTCGGAGCATATCTCGAAAACTCAAAATATGCTGCTGCTGACATCCAGATCTTGAGTGGTGGCACTATGGGATTCACATATCGCGTAAGGCTTGAGTCCCCTTTACCCAATGGCGAGACGAGCGTAGTGGTCAAGCACAGCGCAGACTACGCTTCGTCGGATGACGGGGCTAATTATGGGGCGGAACGGATGGTACGTGTTTCAGCCGGGTTGTTTTTACCAAAGCTCAACAAGCGACTGGGATTCTAGGACTTCGAGCACGAAGCACTGAAAATGATTGCTTCGTCGCCCCTCTTCTCATCAACGAGTACTGTCCAGGTGCCGCGCGTCTTTGAATACGATTCGGACACCCATACCCTTATCATGGCCGACCTCGCCCCCACACGCATGCTCTCAGCAGTTTTGATTGAATGCTTAGAAAGTGGTAACGAAGAACGCATACGCCAAATCTCTTCTCAGATTGGCTTTGCTCTGGGGGACTTCCTGGGTCGGTTCCATTATTGGACATCCCTCCCTGAGCAGCGAGCACTTCGCGAACGGTTCCTCAAGAACACCCCGTCTAGTGAAAAGGGGTTGGAGATCCAATACGAGCTTGTACTCGCTACGGCTGCCAAGTTGGGGCTTAGACGAGTGTGGATGGAAGAGATAGTGGACAAGGGACTACGTGATGCACGAAGGGGAGGGAGCGTGATCGCTATGGCAGATTTCTGGTTCAGTAAGTTATTTAGAATCTGGAGCAAACGGGTACTAAATAGTCTTATTTTGTTCTCCTGAAGATAATATCCTAGTGTCTGAAGACCCGACGAAGGGTTTAAGACTGTATATAATCGACTGGGAAATGGCGAGATGCGCTCGACCGGAGCTAGACGTTGGCATCTTTGCCATGGTCACACACAGCGTAGCTTACTCCTACAAAGCGGGAGACAGCTTCCAATTAATTCAAGAATTCTACAAAAGCTATTGCAAACATTATGCGCTGGACGAGGTACACGTCGGAATGTCGGGAGCGATTGGCGTGTTGAGCTTTGGCTTGGAGGCCCCGTGGGTGGTAAGCAGGGGTCAGAGGGCGCTTGAAGCAATTGCTAGAGCCGGATTTCAGTTACTAGAAGCGGTGCAGCAGGCAAGTGCCAGCAGTATTAGGACCAACCCGATCGTAAAAAACATGTATGCGGCTGATATTATAGATGCATAGCCTTGGAGTTTTGGCACTGTCCTATCTGGTAGCTCGCTTGAGTAGTTCTTTTGTAAAATCATTTATATCGTGTCGTAAAAGTTGACGTGAATAAACATAGCCTGATTTTGAATACTAATTCCAGCTAGTGTCTTGAAAGCGTTTTAAGACCTTCACGGATCTAAAGCCTGTATCAAGGAGCTTCTAGCTACGACACACCCGGTAAGCCTGTATGCACTGACGAACACGATCTCAAACTCATTCTGTGATTATGTTAACCTTTTACTGTTGTGAAATACCGGTGTCCTGCTTTTCAGGTGCCCATAGGTTGCGCCGTAGCTCTTCTGTCAATAACGTCTCTGTCAGTTTGAATCTATTTTTTAAGATTTGGCAGTGCGCCAGACGGCGCTAATAGCAATCTGCGTGCTGCTGTGTGGTTTGTAACTTTGTGTGCGATGTAGAATGTTCACAATTTAGTGTCACGCTCCGTGATAATGTTTGATTTAACAGATAAACCAATCCGGTATGGTGTAACGGCTAACATTGTCGCCTTTCAGTAACTGTAACAGCTTACAAATCAGGCCGCGACGGCTCGGGGTTCGATTCCCCGTACCGGAGTCTTTTGTTTCACGTTCTTTTATATCTAAACACCTCAAAATGTGTCCTGAGTCGAAAGAAACGCACCAGGAGGCTTCAATGATCTTGAAACGTCAAAAAATGAATATTTTGCGAGTTAGGTCCAATGCAAGGCATGTTCTTGAATGTGTGTTATGTTCTAGTAAAGTATTAATGGCGGGTTATCCATGACCTTAAGCGTTCTGGAGCAGTAGAAGGGTGCATATAGTCCGAATCACGGGCTCCTACTTCACTACATCTAAGGTACGCATGGGTGGCGGCTCATGATTCGATTCCCCGTACCGGAGTCTGTTGTTTCGGACTCTTATGGTTATTACTATATCTAAAGATCTCAAAAAGTGCCCCAGAGCTGAAAGTAACATACCAAGAGGCTTCAAGAAAAGATTTCAAAATACCTGGATTTTTGCTAGCTGGCTTTGGTGCAACTCATGGTTTTAAAATATGAATATGGATCTATATCCTAGTAAAGTATTGGTGTGGGGTTATCTATGAGTTTCAATGTCCTGAGGCAATCAAATGCTGCATGTAGTCTGGAACTGTAGCTTGGCTTATCTCAAGGTTACTGAAAGTCAAAGGATGCATCCAAGGTTTCAGCGCTGCCTATCCATTGAAGACCCCAGAAGCAGCTATTCGCTGGTATGTTCCACCCTGCCAGGAAGAAAGGGGGGGGGGGGGAAGGCACCTCTGGATGGGATATTTCTAGTGAAAACGTTTTAACTTTCCAATGTACAAGGATTTTATTCAAACACAGGAAAGCATTATAGCCTAGGCATGCATATCACCCACAGTCACTCATGTATACACCCCAGATTCATTGACACACGCCCATCTGAGGGCAATGCCTTGAAATAACGCACAACTAGCAGCACTCGAAGTATTGCCCGGACTCAACCAGGATTCCGATGAAGCATATCCAAGAGATGGCACACGCCCCCATCTACCCGCAGCTCACCCTCGCTGGAGAAAGCCCCACTTTACCCTGATACATACGCATTTACACCGGAGCACCCCCCCAACACACACACCCTTGAGCCATTAATCAATCATCTCATCCTCAAAACACATACAACACAATTGAGTATCGACTTTAGTAATGCACACCCTTAACACGACCAATCTAAGACACGCAAAAGGAAAAGAAAAGAAAACACAGAAAACAAATATAGGGTATACATGACTCCAATGTAAACGAACATGCACTCTAGGCCTAGGCAAAGCGAACGGTTTAAAGAGCATCAGGCGAGACGTCGCCGAGCGTGTTGAGGTTTACGGCACTGTAAGCTGAGAATGGCGCGTCGCCTGCCTCTGGGAGTGTGTCGATGTGCTCCTGGAAGCAATAATGCATTAGCATATACCCAACCCGGTGACGGAAGGGACATACATCAAATTAGTGACGAGCCATGCTACGTGGCGTTGTAAAGAAACGATTATTAGCTCTGTCAGAAATCCCCCTCTTGAGCGTAAACTACTCACTTTTCGACGTACGCGGCGACCAAGGTCCACGTAGTCACCACTACCAGTAGGGCACTCGACTTGGAGGTCGCTGCCGTAGTACTGGTGGAAGTGTTGGAGGGGCTCGACGAGTAGGAAGTTGGCGGCGAGCTAATGACAAAGTAAGAAACGACTCCTCCGACGTATGAAACATATGTTTACCCAGATAGGTCCACGCCAATTCGAGTTACCACCAAACATGCCAGACCTCGAGTCACCAGGCCAATACTCGACACCAAAGTCCTTGTTGAGGTTTAATCGAAAACCTTTCGATACTCAAGGCTTCTTAGTGCGTACAACGCAGTGGGGGAACTAGATAAGATACAATAGGCAAGATGTATATAGCAGACGAGCCGTAGGCTCTTTATATACATGTAGTAAACATTCAGACACGTAGCATAAACGTAAGGTCATTAACTGATAAGGCAACTTACACGCATATAGTACACGTAGTATAAGACGCATATACGTGTACATATCGTGTTACAACAGTCCTGGCCGTTGACATTGATGGACCATGGGTGCTCCTTGTGGTGAAGAGACATCCTGAAAGCACAATCAGCACACGGAAATTTATTTAAAAGAAAGTGAAGAACGCACGAGCGAATACCATAATCGCTGAAGAACTCGGACTCGTCAAGCATCTTCTCAAGAATCTTGACAAGTCGCTCCTTGCTGGCCAACGCCAACAACTGGCGCTCGTCCTTTCCGCACGCTATCAATTTACAAAAATATCAATACCATGATCAACCAACTCGAGCTAGTACGTACCCTTCGTGTTTGCCACATTCCTCTACGAAAGCTCCGGGCCATTATCAATGATTCGCATACACTCATGAACTTCCCGAGCGGGGAGATTTGCCACTACGTCGATCGCGCAAATGGCCAACTCACCAAGGCATCCACCTTCAGCTCACTGATCACGCAGGGGTAACAACAAAGCACGATGTCCATTTGTAAGTGCGGTAACAAGTACGAGGTTTGTGTAGAGGATTTTTGCGCGCGGGGAAGCGGAGAAGTAGGGGGGGGGGGGAAGACATAGGGGTGAAAAAACAGTGCAGTACCAGGATGATGAGGATGATCGACAACGGAAGTCACGATAACAGATGCGACGAATATACAAGTCAAGGCCTGAAGCGCACAAAGTCGTGAGGTCTAGACCCGTACGAGGAGGAGAAGGTAGAACACACCCAAACGACAAGTCCGCGCATCCAGACCTAAGCGTCAACGTTGTCAGCAACATGTACGAGTGAACAACGTATGGAGGAGAAACATACCAAGACGACGTTTCGTCGACCCTAGCATCCGTCGCTGATTACGACCAACCGATAAATAACGAGCAGAGAGAACCGAGACGAAGCGTGAAAGGTTCGCCAAGGGCTGGAGGTTGAAGTCAGCGATCGTGCCGACAAGACGAGACGGAAGAAAAAACGAACATAAACAGCGATCCAAGGAGCAAGACACGCGCATACACCCACGACAGCGAGAGCGTAACCAGGAACCAAAGAGAAAAGAATAAGGATAGTTGGGAACGGGACGAAACGCAGACAGGGGGATGGGATGGGGTGTGATTCGCAGTTGACAAACGAGAAAGTAAAGAGCGTGGGCGAAGACGTAGCAGAAGGCGAAGATGTGGAGCGGCTCGCCAATGCGCAGGCTTTGACATATATCAGTGACGTGTATGAAACATAAAGCGGAAGAAAGAGATGAACCTTTACCGCCGCCAGCGTCGCCCTCAAGCCTACCAGGTGGTACGGTAGAAGTCGGCGTGAGGGAATTGCTTCCTGATCTCGTCGAGGAGGTACCATCCGGGGGTACAGTAGGTAATATGGTTGCTCGTCGAGCCGCCCTTGTTGTATCCGGAGTGGAGTTGACCAACGATGCGAGTCTTGCAGTCCCTCACGTGCCAGACGAGAGAGCCCGAGTCTCCCTTGGCGGAGAAGACTTTGACACCTTTGACGCCCGAATTGTATATTCCGAGCTCGATGGACTCGACGCCGACTTCATTTTTAGTAAACGAGACCAGGCCGGCGTAGCGGCCGACAGTGAAGTCGGTCGTGTTACCGTCCTTGCCGACGATGAGGCAGCGGTGACCCTCGCTATCGAATTCAGCAGGGATGGCGAGGTCCTCCTCCGTGGCGCAACCCTCAATTCGGAGCTTCCTATCGTCGGGAAACTTGAAGGTGGTCTGACCACCAGCGGCAGGATAAAACATTTCCGAAAGCTCTTGAGGCGAGTATTGCGACCCTGATTAAAGTTGTTTCAGTCGAGGTAAATGCGAGAGAGGTAAGTCAAACGCACCAATGTCAACTACGTTGCCTTCGAAATTCCCCTTGACCTTCGCCTCGGCAGCCAGGAACGCAGCCCAGTCCGAGGTATATCCAGTGCCACCTTCGTCAACCTTGATGGCTTTAGCACACTGGACGTGCCCGACGATACGGTTGAGCTTGATGTGCGACCAGTATTTACTGGCCTGTTCGTGAAAGGCCTCGAGGTCGGCGACAGCTTCGTTCTCGTCGTCCAAATTCCGCTGAACCCGCCTCTTCTCTTTCGCAATATCCGGGTCATTCTTTCCATTCGCCTCCAGCCTGACCAAATTGCGGGCCCAATAATCGGCGAGTATGCCACGACCAGCAACAGCCTTCGCGATTTCGTCGAGGCCGCGCTCGAATCGACGCATCCCGCAAATACGAATGCTTTCTTTAGGTGCACCGCATTTATGCTCGTAGTTGACGGTGGTGTGCTTGCGTAGGACGTGGCAGTTACTTATACCGTACACCTTGTCGCTGGGGTTACCGTTCTTGTCCTTATTCTCGTGAAACCATAATGTAAGACTGCCCTGAGAATCCTCCTCATTCATTTCTTCGGCCGCGAGGGGAACGCCGAGGAGAGGAGTAAGGAAACGGCGTACGTGGTGAGTGGCGTCGCTAGTACCGACAGGGCGCAAAAGGGGGGGACCGGCCAGCCTTTGCGGGACCGCCTCGCGCCATTCCACAACAGCATCCTCAACTCCGTGCTTCGGTAGGAGCGCAAGGATCTCTTGAGAGACCTCGTGCGCGGCATCGGCAGAGGTAGACTCGGGAAGGACGCCGACCCAGATAACGACAGGACCGAGACTTCCTTTCGCCTCCTCTCCCGGCGGTCCGTCGGTGAAGAATCGAGCAGGGTCGATGGAGCAATAGCGGATCCTGTGCGCCTTGATGATGTCACGAATTGCGGGACCGACGGTCTTCCAGACACCATTAAGCGGGGTGTCAAAGACGCCGCGGAGCGACTTAACGGGGAGATGGGCATGCCTGCCGGAGGGCCGAGGGAAGGGCTCGGTGAGGTAGTTGGAGCGGTATACGAGAATTGGGTGGTCGTCGTCCCCAGTGATGCCGTTGTAGTAGGACATCCTCTCGTACTCGCCCGGGGCGTACTTGTAGACAGCAGTAGCATCGGTTGCTAGGGTCATGGCAGAGAAACAGGACATCATAGATGAATCGTTCGGG